GAGAACAACTGTAAGCTCTAGGATGTTAAGTCACTAAACTGGTAAATAACTTGCTCAGTACTCTATTTCTATCAAGTTGGTATTTGAAGCACTCGGTGAAGCTTTGCGTTCTCGAAGCGTCGCGGTTTATTTACCCCCTCACCAATGAAAGTATGAGATGAACTTGTGTGCGAAACTGTTTTCGACGGACGAGTCTTCTTTATCCTTATCCGAAATTTAGTCCTCCACAAGACGTGTGTTACTTGCAATAGAGAACAGAATCAATCGTTAAACAGACTCTGGGAAGATGGACAAACATGCTTTAATGGATCACGCAACGCCCTTTGGGTTACTTGGTTAATCATTGATAGAGTTCATTTTTTTACACTAATCTTCCCATTTTATGAACTGGATCTGCCCTATAGGCAGCCCAGTGAATAATAACATTGTTTCAATAAGATGGGCTACAATAACCATTACATTTCATGTTTTTGTTTTGGAGGGTGGGGTTGGGGGATTGGGAAGGATTTTTAGAAAAATGAAATGTTTTTTTTTTTTCTTTTTTGTGTTATTCCGCAATGACTTAGTAGAGTCTTTTTAGCAACATACTGTAAAGTGCGTTATGTAATAAAAGTAATAATAATGATAATAACAATAAATTAATTTTAATGGCACGATCGTTTTTAACACACTGAGCAAACACATATGCTGAGTAGATTGATGAAAGCAATGTTGAGGTATTTTTAGTACTTTTTTAAATAAGTGAACTCTTTTCGTTTCTCCTGTGCATCAAGGTCCTTTAAATTGCTTTAAGGGGAAGCAAAAGATCCATTCATTGAGATATTTTTGTGGAGATATATACCTTACTAAACGTTAGAATGGGAAATAATATCTTTTTCAGCCCACATCAGGATAGACTATTATTTTATAATTCACTATATTTATCAGTCAACTTGATTTCTTCCTTCTTTGAACTAAAACAAAACCTCTTTATGCTGTCTTTCATTTAAACGTTCGTGTATTCAATACGTCTCCCACGTTGGTCATTTCAATGTTGTAATTAGGGAAAAGCAAAAGAAAAAAACGTCATCAAAAAAAAACCTAATCCATCGTTCAACTAATGGTATTATAATTGTGATATCGCACTGACTTTTCGATTGTTTGATCTTTGCAAGGAATAACCATACAACATTACGATGTTACTTCCTAAGTTTTAAACGACCTTCATAAACGGTCAATAAAAAGTGGACTGAAGAAAAATATTAAATTATGCTTTCGTGGACACCCAGTTGTTAACTTATGTTAATTTGCCAAGTAAAAAAAATTAGTATCAAAAAAGGTTGCAGTGAATGAGATTGTTATTATCGTTCTGATTACTATTTTTATCCGAAATAACTCAAAGTATACTTTACTGAAATTGTACATTGATTCAATACATATTACATAATAAGGTACATTAGGTTATTTTTAGGCCTCGTCTGACCAGAACCCAGATATTTTTTGAAACTGCTTAATAAAATTAGACGAATCTGCCTTCTATCCACTAAAAACCAGTGAATCTGCTCACCAAAACCGCTCTCCAACTCTGTCACGGATTTGCCAATTCGATCGTGTACATGATTGAATCCGTATATTCTTGAAATTCATTTCCTCCCCATTCTGCTCAGATTCGTCCGGACGGGGCCTTAGTTATCTTATATCTGTCTCATTATTGTTAGCTTACGGTAATGTACACTTCAGACGTTAATATAATTAGTTATGTGGTTCTAATCCCGTCTAGGAAATAATTTTTCTTTGTCCCACTCTCTTGGCATGAAGAACGGAAAAAAACGCCGACTGAAAGTGCGACTACAAAGAGGAAACTGAAGCTACAATAATCAATATGGTGCTAATAAATTGATATTGACACTAGGATCATGATAGAACATATGCTCTACCTCTTGCCCCGCCTTCTAAAAATACTTAGCAACATTACAGTGTAACAGCTCCTCCTTAACGTTTTTCTAGACTCACACTTTCTATAGCAAGCATGTCCTAAAATAAGGACTGAGCATTTTGAAAACTGTGCACCATCTTTGAAAAAAAAACAAAAAACAAAGACGACACATTTTCCGTTAAGTCAGTCGTGTGTGCCATACTCTCACGAGTCATATGTGGATAACGACCAATCAGCACGTGTTCTGGCATTGTATTAATTCTAATGGATCATGTTATGAAATAGCGACCTTTAGATTAGACAAACTGAATGACTGCGAGGGGAGCTCGTTACATCCACATATGCTATTCTTCTCACTGTCTTGTTACTGATTAGCATATACTAGAGGGGCTTAAGCAGTACGATTGGTGTCACAAGTGATAAATCTCTAGATCTAAAACATGTGAACTTGGTCTGAAAACGCGATAAAGAAAACCAAAGAATTAGATTTTGTATTTAAACAAGAGAGATGAGAAAATTTTCTTTTCATGTAGATGTGACAAGAGTTTCAGCAATGAAATTTCGGCTTCTCGAAAGGAAAGCTTGTTCGTACGTCCCATCAAAAAAAAGAAAAGAGAGTCAGTATAATAAGGGAGTTAATTTCAGGCAAACTCAGCCGCTGCCGTTCATAGCGAGGTGTTACTGAGTAACAGCGAAGAGCCGGATCATTAACTTAAGGCATTATAGGTGACTGTGTGATGAACTGCAATTTCGCGGTACAGAAAATTAAGTAGCAGGTAGTAATGAATAGGTATAGCTAAGGTCGGTTCAACTTTTTAGATAAATGCTGTGTTGAGAACTTGTTTGAAGTCTTTCGCAAAGAGCCTTTGCAACTGAAGCCTCTCAGCAACACAAAATTACTTTCGGATTTTATTTGAAATCAGTAAAGCAATGCCTCTTTCTTTTGGATGGGTTAAGTTTGATGTTGGATTTTTGTTAAAAGAACCACTTTTACTTGTACATATAACAGGGCACATTCAATAGCATCAAGACTTCAAATTTCATTCATTGCGATAACCATTTTTGGTTGGAGGTTACCGAGGCGGCGGAGTTTCATAGCATCTGAAAATTTTGGCCTCGACGGATAACACCCTCCTCGATCTCCATATTAAAGTCATTAAAAACGCGTCGACGGGCTGTTTGTAAACCACCCAAGTACCAAGTTCGAATAGAAAGAAACTGCGTGGTATGCACAGATAATAATAAACTGAGTCAAAGGTTACGCAACGAAAACGAAATTGCGCAATTTTTATCTAAAAAATCTGGCAAGTGTCTAGATCGGAAAATCTTGAATGCCCTAAAATAAACCATTACCTTTTTCTTGTGCGAGGTTCTGACTTGACCCACCTGATAAAGACAAAATCAACTTATCTGTTCTATCGTATCGATCGCAGTAACTCGTTTCTTGTTGCAAGAACTCAGCCTTTGAGTGAATGATTTCATGTGGTCAGTAAAGACTCTTGTGATAAACTAAAGAAATGAATGAAAAATTAGTCCAGCTATTTCCTACAACGAACTTTTATAGAACTCTAGTGCATTTGCACGTATTACCCTTTCTCAAAGTAAGTTTAATCTCAGCGAATGTCTTTTTTAATGCGTTTTTAGTTAGGGAACAACAGATGTGAAACTCTGTTTATTTTTGTCATCTCAAGAATGACGGCCGTATCAGTGCGTTATTGCATTTTAAATATTTCCTTTGCAAATAGAAGGGTGTAAGATTTCAGTTCCAACTAAGTTGCCGAGGTCATATGGTCAGAAATTATAAGCTGCTGATAACTCAGGAATAAAACAAAGCTCCGACCCCAGCTACCTTGAAAGACCACGATGCGCCAGCTCACGCCGACGAATCGATACCGAGGAATGTTATGTCACAATAACGATTTTAGCTGAACTGATTAGTGGTATCTGCTGATGTGCACCAAATGCATGTCTCTTTTCAAAAGAATCCGCAACTTTTGGGAAAAAAACGTACACTGCTTCAAAAGAGATATTGAGAAACTTACATAATAGTTCAATTATATAATTATTTTTTGGTGAAAAAAATTCTACGAAAAGGAATAGGCTAAGTATGACGTTTAATATCAAAACTGTTGGCCAACTGAAGTCCGCGTAAAACTGATGATTAGCCGAAAGAGTAGTTCATTGATAAGTGACTCCACTTATCTCCATTTTTACAGTGAAAAAGAGGATTAGATAACTTTACTTTAATCCGATAATTTCCAGTTCCGTTTTTCCTACGTTCCCACCGCAATTTCCTGTTCAGAGTTAGCGTTACAGTCCATGAAGGTCGTTCTCAATACACTGAAAAGGAAAAGCTATTAATTAAGACCATCCGGCTTAGCTTGAAATACATTTTATTTATTTATATGCGCACTTTTTTACTTTGAAGCCTTCTAGAGAGTTCTTTTTACGAAACCGTTTCCGAAATACGTTTTTGGTGCTGCTCTACTTAGTCTGAAAAAATTTAATTTTGACTTGCAACATTGAAAACATATACCAATTATTTTCAAGTGCCTAAGGAAGGAGGAGATCTTTCTTATTTCCATGCACTAAATATTTTTATTAACATGTTTTGAAAGACAAAATATATGCGTTAACCACCGTAAATCATAAAACAAATGAAACACGCCAATCAACCTCTCCTTATTCCTTACCGGATACTTTCAATGGTTAATAACATTTGATTATTCAAAATCACGCGTTCAATAAGACATATTTCTTCCTTTTGACAGCAGGAAGGGATGAATTACAATATCTCCCTTGTCGTGCAAAAGTCCTTCAGTAAAACTTAATGGAATAACCTAAAACAATCGTTCACAGCTGTCACTTAAATGGTGTTTAGAGATAAGGGGATGAAAAGACATTAATTAAGAGGTGAAACCTCTGTAGCATGTTTTCAAAAGAACGTTTTAGCACGCGTAGATCCCTATAAAGCGGACGTTTTTACTGCTGATTTTATTGATCAGAACAGAGGGATTTCTCCAGTTGGACCTGTTTTTATAGGCTTTCAATACCTTGATTTTTTTCGTGAAATGCTAGACGCATGATGAACTCTACACACCTGAAAGCCTCGAACTCTACCCTACCAGTTTGCTCCGTAAAATGCCAGTTTTCCGTGGGCAGCAGAGTGGCCATTATTTTCTTCTTCTTCCTTATCTTCGTTGCCTCTTTCATTGGGAACAGCATCCTGTCCCTTGCAATAATCCGCCATAAGGGGATGCGTCGAAGTTCGACCAACTTTTCCGTTCTGAGCCTCAGCCTCGCAAACATTCTAATCACAGTGTTCTGCATTCCGGTTTTTGTGATCGACGCTTTTATTGTAGATAAGTGGACGTTCGGTGTAATCGGCTGCAAACTGGTCGCTTTCCTTCAAAACCTTGCCATAAATGCCTCTATTTTCACACTCGTCATCATCAGCGTCGAGAAGTTCTTGGTTGTTTGCTTTCCATTTCGAGTACGTTCCCAGAAAACTAAAGTTCGCTACTTGGTTCTTGGCGGATGGGTTGTTGGAATCATCCAGTCATCGGTGTACTTGAGTTACAAGAAGTTAGAAATGTTTGATGGAATTCCCTATTGTATCCAAGTCTGGCCTTCCTTCAAGACTCGGCAGATATTCCTTGTTGTTGAGGCAGTTGCCCTGCGTATCATTCCGCTCGCGCTCATGATTGTTCTCCATGTCGTCACAATCGTAAAGATCAAGGCAAGATTGAAGTATCGAGCGCAAGAAAACTCTGCAGCAAAGTCAGCAGCGGTGAATGTCGTTGGTTCGCAGGCCCTCAAGAAGAGACAGAGGGCTGTTGTTATGCTGGTGTTTATCGCCACTGCAGCTGCTGTAACCCTCTTTCCCCACTACTGCTTTAGGTGCTGGCGTTTGTTGGCTAATTCGGAGAAAGTTTCAGACGTCTACACTTTTAATATCTTTATTACCGTGTTCACATGGCTGCTCTACTTTAACAGTACCTGTCATCCCATCATCTTTGGGCTCATGAGCTCCAAGTATCGCAAGGCAGCAAAAAGGACATTATCTATAACTTGGAAATCCCCACTAGGTTCGAGCATAGGGAAAAAGAAAAGGCAACAACTTATTCTAATGGCCGAGCAAGGTGGGAACTTTAACCCTTCAGCGTCGACTTAATATAAAGCTTGGGCCAGTTTAATAAGATGTATGCTCACTAGACAGGTTCAGAAGTCCCTACAATATGATCAGTACGATACGTACGTTGATACGTAGATATTTGTTGGCTTTTTGTTATTTAATAAGAAAACACAATTTGTAATAGGCAGTGGAAAATACTGCCGACATTGTTTTTTAATATTTTAATTTGAAAATTCAACGAGAGACTGTTAAAGGGAGCGCCTCCTAGCGATATTTTAAGACTGTTAGATGAACGTAAGACTGCATGTAGTAATTGTTAGTTGCGTTCGAATTGGCAGGGTGATCAGCAATTACAATTGCAAATCAAATGCGTGCACCCTTGGAAACCTACCGCTCAAATTGATTGAAAATGTTTATGGAAAAGTACTGACCTCGACGGTTCTTCATTGAACTTTTAACTAATTCCTTTGTAAATTGAAGTCTAGAGTGACATTATGAAAAATTCCTTATAAAGAATGAATTGCTATTGTAACGCTTCTTTGCTGTTAAATGTCATCAGCTATTATTGCGCAACAGTATATTTACTTCCACTTTTACACAAAGTTTTTGACCTAGGTTTCTTTAGTGTCTATAAATATCGGTGAATACCCATTGATGTAATATAACTAATTTAATCAAAATTAAAGAAATAGTCATTAAATTTTGGTTACATAGCATATTCTAAAAGAAAAAACCTTCTGAACTTTTAAACTTATACAAAGCAATTCAGGTATTTTTTGCGAAGTGCCAAGTTAATTTGACCAATCCAATGAACGCTGGCCAACTGAATTTTTAAACATTGTCACAGTGGTACTTTTTGCCTAAAGTCTTACTGAATTATGCTAAATCACTATTGCGAAATATGTAATTCCTCACTTTTACGAAGTCGAATACTAACATCTCTGTGGAGTGGCTATTATAACATCCTGCAGGTGTAATTTTAAAAAAGCGTGTTTCTGTTATGCAATGCAAAATGTTATGTAACTGTTTTTATTGTCACACTTTTTAGATGTTAGGTATAAGCCACCGAAAAAACACGAGCTACGTGCCTCGTCTTTCTGCCTAATCATTAGATCTACTATCCCTGTTAAAATATTGTCTTTTTTTCAGTCTGCGTTCTGTAAATAATTGTTTCCTTATATAGTATCAGAAATGGGCGGTATTTGTGTAAATTAAAATGCTTTCAAAGGGAAAAAAATAACAATGGAAGTAATAAAGAAAACTATGTAATATCATTTCTGCCTTGAGGGTTACTTTGTATTTGAGTAACTTACTTTAAACATCTTGGGTTATTTTTGGTATTGTCGGTTTTTACAAACAGCAAAAACATGAACTGGTGTGTCATTTACGTAACATCAGTGTGGTGAATGACTTAGTTCAGACACTTCCCTTCACGCATTCGATCCCAGCTCTGAAAATAAAAATCCATCGATTACAGAGAGCAGCCACTTTTTAGTTCACCAAGTCAGAATAAGGGTTTCGACCAAAGGGATGATACTTGATAGACTCTTGATAGACCTTTCGATAACAATTTTGTCGCGAAAATGGAAATCAGATATGGCTGCAGATATCCGTTTGCTTTAGGTTATGAATCCAACTGGGTAAATAATCTCTTCCATGATTATAAACAAAAGCCATTTTTGCTGCCGCTTTGGATGACTCTGGCTCTTTTTGTTTGTCTGTTTGTTTGTCTTTTTGTTTGGCTGCAAGATTGCTTGTATTCTGCTAGCCTTTGAAAATTATTTGAGGATTTCATTAACCCCTTTATTCTTAGATGCTATGTTAGAGACGTCACGTCTCAAGTTTGCTTCTGTATCAAATAAAACGTCTACCGCAGTACTTTCATATGTTATCTATTTAAAAGAGTCCGGCTCACTTTTGAGAATGTGGACGAAACCTTAGCTAATTAATGATGTGATCATTCAAATTAAACCTCTGCTAGCACTTTCTCATGATATCAACTGGTTTTTCAACAATTTACTCAAAAAATAAATTTTGAATTATTTTTGTTGTATTTTGCATCTCCTGTTTTATTTCATTTATGTTAAGTTATCGTTGTAATTCTTTTTTGTGCATGACTGCTTAATTCTGTCTTGTTAGATCCTTTCTTCTCTCTTAGAACTTGTCGGTGGGGCTGGAACCAGAGGGCATAAGTGTGAATTAAATCTTATTAAACAGCGACACTGCATATTTTACATGTTTGTCTCGATACTTGAAACTAATTTAGCGACAATTCGCTTCAATTTACTCAACTATTAGTCACAGCCGCGTGTTACTGTTCCATCCTTGATACTGAAGAACGAAAAAGTCTTGCGGGCGAGTTTCGAAATAGGCTTGATGATGATTCACATGTTCATGTTATGTAACTATTATATACAAGATGTAAAAGGAAATGGGAATTGTTTATTTTCCACGAACTGTTTCAACAGATAAAATAGTGTTTAAAAATAACATTGTTGATAGAACAAAGCTGCTTTCTACGTCTGATCTTGGCCTTAAATTTCACTGATAAGCTAAGTTTGAAATAGGGTTGATCTGGTAGATCAGTAGAGGATTATTTAATTTATTGCCTTCAGTCTTCGGTTACACAAAACGTACTTGTCATCTGGGAACCGCAATAAGCAAAGTTGAAAAAGATAGTCAAAAACAAAAACGTGATGTGGTTGACATTGGATATAATTAAAAAGAAAGTTAAAAAAATGCAACCAGGCAATGGAAAACTTACGCAGTTAATTGCTGGAATTTTGCCCTAAGTGCATACTGGAACTTACAAGATTGAACTTAGGAATGCGTAAATTTCCACCACTGTGAATTAAAGCCAGCAAACTGGCTGACGCGTTTTCCCATTTTACCTCCAAGAGCTTATTGGCTTTTTAATGCGGTTGTGACAATACAATATCGGTCCTGGGGAAGTTTTGTGTCCAGCAGTTTTAGTGAAAACAGGGGTTTGTGGGGTTGCTCAGTCTCGCGGGTTTACAAAACCTTCCCTTGGTCGATCTTTTTTTGTATTTGCCGTTTAAAGCAAGCCACCAATTTTTTAAACGGAATCCACTTTTCGGAGCCTTAATTTAGACGACTGCCACGAACACACTAGAACATTTTAAAAGGCCAACAAGAACAACGCCGATTTTTTGTGGCATTTTGATTTAAAAGTTACTAGTTTGAAAAGGAACATAACAGAGGTTCCGTGCAATGTTACATTATTAAATACCGTGAATGCTTGAATTACCGCCCGGGGCTTTTTGTTTGATTTTCCGCGACAACTATAAAAACTTTGTGTAATTGCGAAAACTGCGACGTCAATAAACACGTCTCTGAAAAATAGTCTTCACATCCTTTTAAACTTTTTCGCGATTATCCAATTCGCCCTGTTACTTAATAGAAGGGAATTTTGGTTGGAGCTGAAGAGAGGGGACCGCGCCCGAATTCCGACAGAGATGATAGAATTTATCGCCTTGCCGTTCCCGTTCTCAGGAAAACTTAAAATTTGTCAATTCACGTCGTAGTTGTCCACGGACAGCAAAAACGCGTGATGCACGTTTAGAGTTGTTGTTTTGTTCATTAAACCTATTGCTTTTTTGACGTTCTCGTTGCCGTTGCCATCGTAGTTTCGTAAGGTCCCTGTTAATTGGAAGGGGGCGCTTATTCAAAGAGGACGTTTATCTTGCTTTTCAAATTTCGTCCTCTTTATTTCCAGCATAAAAAAAAATCCTAAACTGGAACGTACAGTATCTCGGCTGTAAGAAGAAACACAATTTTGTAAAATAAGCTTAATTTCACTTCAATCCTCTTTGATTCCTCTTATTTTTCTTCATATATACAGTAACTTTTTCATTCTGGGGGGAGAGTTGGGGCTGTTTATTAAAAGAAGGCCCTGAAAGGCGATTGAAGATGATAGGTTTGTTTAGTAAAGCGACTCCTAAAGGTAGGTTTTAATGTTAATATTGCTTATAAATGAAACAAGCTGTGTTTGAATATCAAGACAACGCCGATGGTATTGAGGCAAATGCAAAGTCGCATGACCCTAGATAAACTGAGAAACATAGCAGGAAACCGATCATTATACAAGTGATAAATAAATTTTTAAGACAGAATCCAGCAGGAAATTGAGTTATTTTGATTTTCAGTGGACAAAAACCTTGTACCAGACTATTGCATCCTTTTTTACATTTTTAAAGGGCTAAAGATGTAATTAGTCATCTGTAATAACACCAAAGAAAATTTCTAATTGGAGTCCGAGAAAATGAATGTCAAATTTCACAAGAATTGTGAAAACACAGGTAAAATTCTAAAAATTTCATGTGTAACATATCAGTTTGTGAAACTGGACATTTATTAATTTTCTCGGGCTCCCATACGAAATTTTCTTTGGTGTTATTACAGATGACTAATTACATCTTTAGCCCTTGAAAAATGTTAAAAAGAATGCTATTTTATGTAAATTATTCTGGTACAAGGTTTTTGTCCACTGAAAATTGGAATTACTCAATTTTCTGGTGAATTCCGCCTTAATCATTTTTTCTAGTATTTCGTTTAGGGACACACACTTTATCATTTTGTTCCTTTCGAAAAGGTTTTTATCAAACGGCCCTGTCGGGCACAAAATAGAATCCCTTAATTTTGCTTTTTTCATCGCCAAGAACTCTGTTAGTATATCACCTCTCAGTAAAATCCATATAGTTGTCTATTATCAATGCTCGGTCATTGGTTGAGCTACTACTAGGCTATCTGTTGTAGCCCACTAGTAGCGAAGAGCGCCGGCTTTGAAAACCAAAACAATGGCGGCTGATCGTGTTTTGCTAGCTAAAGTTGTTTTTTCTCGATATTTTTGACCAACTTGCTGGATTTTACTAAAACAATTATTCCTCTTGCCCTCATGGCCTCTGATTCAATAGCCCATGAGGCCGAATGGGGCCGCTTGACTCAGAGCCCATTCGGGCTCGAGGAATGATTGTTAATAAATTATAATAGCCCACGGTTTCAAATTTATTAGAAACCAAAAAATCTGAAAAAATCTATACTCCAGGTCTACTAACGTTTTTCGGAGCAGGTGTTTAAACTAAGGGCTTAATTAGCTTCCTTAAGGCCCCGATCTCCCAATCACGCAGGCATATAGATATGTATTTTTAGGTTGGGTGCTGCAGTTGACACTAGGGACCTTAAGCATCGACAACGAAACGGACGACGACGACGCTTCGCAACCGAGGCAGACTGGGCCAAGGGTTTCGTTTTCGGCGGGCAAAACGAAGTTTAAGCGGTGCAGCTTCCCAGACGGACGACGACTCTTTCTTTGCGAAGAACTTTGTCTTGTTACAGTCTTGTTAGGGCATTCAAAGACGTCCGTAATTTGCATTTTATAAAGTATGAAGATGGTTTAATCGACGATGGCGAATTCATTGTTCTTTAGGACCTGGATTATTTGATTGTGGAGGCTTTCTCTTCGTCGCGCAGCTTTTGTTTTTGTTTTGAAATGAAGTTAAACCTGTATACCGATCTCGAACAGCTCTTGACTTGCAGTTAAGCTAAATTTCGGCTGCTGAAGAGAATTCAGTGCTGCTACAATGTTCTCCCTTATTTGTCCTCTCTCAGGGCTCCTCATAACCACATCATGTTCCAGCTGAGTCCACTGAAAATAGTTGCCTTTAATAGCGGCTAAAAACAACATGGGAAATTATTAAATCTTAGTACGAAAAAATGAACATTTATCCTATAGTACAACCTAGAATGCATGAGTAAACATAGGACCGTAAAGGAACGAACAGCAGCTAATCTAAAAGGTTCGGAAGATAGCAGAGGAAAGCTTACTTGTCTGTCCGACTTGTTGTTCCGCCATCACTCAGGTTTTCAAACAAACCGAACCTGAAAAATAAATTCAAGTTAGCAGGCGAAGAAACCGACAAAGTGTTTAACATTTGGATTCTGCTAATCCACAAAGAATATATATCTACTTGTACTGAATGACAAGGAGGGAATAGAGTGATTTACACGCAGAAAGTATAGTTTTATACTTACGTTTTAGCGACGACGGCAAACCTCCCTGAATTACGTCGTCGACGAAGGCTGGACGACGTTTTGACAACCTTACGCATGCCCAGAAGGTTCGCGCGGGAAAATTTCACTTCCGGTCGGCGTCGTCGTCCCATTTCGTCGTCGATGCTTAAGGTCCCTACTGATGCCAGATGACGTTGCTATCTCCGAGACCACTCTGAAGTGCATGAACAGTGATTGTAACGGACCCCTTGCAGGTAAGTACACTTACAACAGCAGCAAGTTAAGAATACGACATAGTTCAATCGAGATATAGTCCATAATGACAACGGTTGGCCACTTAGACTCATTCTCGATCTTGGGCGTGGGCAGGCACTTAAGCGTTAACCAGTTTTTACCACACGAAGTCCGTACATGGCCAAAATTAAATTTCATGCACGCACGGTAGCAGCGGACACTTAGAAAAATGACAACAGTCTACAATGGAATTTTACAAAGAAATGTGGTATAAGTAGAATAATTCGCAAAACGGCATGTTAGGCAATATTCCTGGACAATTTTGTTCAGCGTGAGACTGAAAGGTTGACTTCTTCGAATTTCGCGCTTCCCAGAATGGAAATAATTAATACCAAAAAAATACCTTCGAATTCGTTTCTATAAAAGTTCTTTGCAAAAAAACCTCTTTCTTCACTATTAATAACAACTCCGTTGGAAAACTATCAGCTGCTCGGTTGAAAACTTCAAGATCTTTCGTGAGTTTCTTCATAGTGAAAAAGTAGATTCTTTATTCCCATGTTTAAAGAATTTGCTGTTAATTCTGTTGGTAAAGGCGCCTCTACTACACGGCTAAAATCCAAGACCTTCGTTCTACAATATCTCCGCCATAAATCATCCAAAACACAGTTATGTATCGGTCAAATCGAGCCTTCAACATCCCGCCGGGGCATACCCCGGGCATTTGACACCTTTGCCGTCCCGGGGAGGAGGGAATTTGATTATCAGAGAGTTCCAGGCGGTGGTGAATTTTATTCCCATGCGTATGGGGTGGGGATGAAAACTGTGGCCTCGATTTCATGTGAAATCTCTGTGCTCTTTGCATGTGGCGAACTATCGTGGCGGACGCAGTGTTGGAGGATTTTCGTGGAAAAGATTGATTGGTTACCAGGAAAGGGCTTAAACAAGCTTTGTGCCGTATTTGAAGGTATTTGAATTTTAATATTTTTAACACTGGATTCAGGCTTTGAATATATGAATGTATTAAGTTGTGTTTACAATGAAACCGGCGATTCAATAAATAAGCTCAACAGAGGTCAATTGCACGTACTTTGACGTGCCGCATGCATGTCAGTGAAATGGTCATGAATACGAATATCGCATGTAAGAAATGTAGTAATCTCAGTACGTGGGACTTTTTTTATAGAACGCCTTGTATGTTGCATGACACACGGAGAAAAGCTGAGCATTCAGTGACCTTGTAGCAGCGATTTCCGCCGCTTTGCACCAGAGTTTTGTTCGTAGTAAATACGCCTGCAGTGTTCTGTTCTTAGTTTTTATTATATTGAACGCGAATTATTTGCTGTGTTTATAAAGATTTTGTTTGACAACTGAAGGCGTTTCTGCCGTCCTTTTGTCATTCATGTGCCTGTGAAATGTCCCTAAGGTAGGGGGGTGGGGGGCATTTGATCACCTGAATGGACCCTAGTGTGAGGCATTTGAACGGCATTTTGGCTCGGGGAGGGGGGGAATTTGAACAATAATTTTCAAAAAAAGTCCAATTCCCCGGGGGGTTGCCCGGGGGGGTGTTAAAGCTTCGATTTGATCATACATTAATAAATTAGAAACGCACCATTTTACGATTATTTGAGACTAATAATCGTAGTATCTGCGTTTTACGATAATAATAATAATAATAATAATAATAATAATAATTCAATAAGTAAACTTATATTGCGCGGGCATTCATAAAAATGATCAAATGCGCATTACATTGGTAATGAAAGCATAAAATAAAAAAAACTTAGTATTAACAATTCGAAAAACAATACGAATATATACACTTCTTCAATAAAAATCTAAAATATCAATTTGCAACAATTAAAATTCAATTAACTGCAAACTTAAAAAGGTGCGTCTTAAGATGGCTCTTAAAGTATGTGAGTACGGAATCTCAGGAAGCTCGCGCGGTAGAGTATTCCATGCTATAACTGGAAAGACATATCGCCTTGTGTGACCTTAGTTCTTAATGTTGGCGATGCTAGCAAAATTCCACCAGACTATCTGAGGTTACATGCGCTTTGCGATTTCGAAGAAACTAAGTTCTGAATGTATGTGGGGGCTATGCCACAGATAGCCTTGAATGCAAATAACAAAATCTTAAAATGAATGCGCAGCTTTAACGGAAGCCAATGCAGCTCATACATCAATGGTGTAATATGGCTAAAGTGCGGGGTGAAGTGCAGCAAACAGGCCTTGCGGCATTGTTTAAAATACGCTGAACCTTTATTATCCTGTACTCCAAAAGTATTTTGAAACTCCCAAAACGAATTGACATCTTCTCTTAATTTTCTCCAAAACCTCGTGTTTGAAAGCTCGTTTCATAGACATTTCATCGCCCGTTTTGGCAGTATTTTTGATCAGCAGCTTTCATTTGACCATAAATTGAACCACGTATCCGACCACTAGAAATCACTGTTAAAAAGCAGCGGTTAAGGCCATTCACGCGTGACAGCCTGAATGTAAAAGTCCCATGAAGGTTTGATGTGCGAGATTACTGGCCATGCTTACCTGAGATCAGGATCTATTTAGGCCGGATCTTAGGTTAAATATGCACCTATCTGGGATCGAGGATATCTGCACCAGTGATAATCAGATAGAAAAATGGCCGAAAAGTTAACTCTGCCTCTCTCTTGCTGAGAGAAGTTGTGCCTGGAGCAACGGCAGCCTCGACTGGGATTCCATGGACCCAGAAAAAAGACGAAGTAGCCAGAAGTCTAACAGGGATTGCTGGCTGGGCAGCGTCAAGAGCTTTGGCGAGGATAGTAAAGCCCACCGAAATCTTGGGAATGCCATTAACAGCCTCTTCTCGAGCGAAGAACAAGCACACTGTATATCTTGATGGTGTTACCTCTTCTTGGTGGATAAACCCTCGCATGCCAGCTGTGTGGCAGTAAAAACGTTTGTTTAGGGCTAAACGGAGGGAGACGAGTTTCTCGTCTTCTGAAAATTCTTGTCCCAATGTTTATTGTACCGTTGTCACACATCTCAGTTGTGATGTACTCCTGAAGAAGGCCGAGACGGGCGAAACGTAAAGTAAAGGCTTATTAAGAAGATCTATTTGGAGTTTATTATTAGACATACTTGTGTTATTTGTTTTATTGCATTAGATTTGTTTCGTGCTTCCCTCTGATTGGTTGTTCTTGACATGATAAACGAGGTAAATCAGTTGGCGGTACTTTTTGAAATATAATTTAATCTCAATCTTTGATTTAGTTATCCAGTTCATATTTACAATACTTAAAGTAGAAGTAACCCCATGAAAACTCTCCATAAAATTATTGCCCGACAAATAAAGAGGAAGATCGCATTCACTAATTTTCAGCTACTAAAACTTGTAAAAATAGGCTAGCCAAGTATGAAAACTAGTGCTATGCTTTAGTCTATAGACCTGACAGTTTCAAGACCATTGGAAGTAATGGCTACATATTCACAGTGGCAATAATTCACAGAATTAGAGGGCTGTGTGTTTTCCGTTCTTTTAGGCTCCAGATTTTTTCTAGATTCATGCTAATTGAAGGATTAACTGATAATTAGTTCAAGACGGCAAACGTTATCAATTGCATGGAAATTCCCTTTCAGCCTGACCGAACTACATCAACATGCGCTGTGATTGTTAAAGATGCCTTCCAAGTTAGCACTCTTAGGGCTTATGTGCGACAAGTCTCTTGGAAGACATTTCGCGCAATTCAGTCATTGTATTTCATATGGAAGCAAAACTTAAAAACAGACTACAACGTTCGTTTTCTTCTTCTTCTCCCCTATTCATTTCTGTTCACTTTTTTTTCAATTATTCCTGTGAAGTTTGTGGAAGATGTGGTGTTTCTTTGATCCCTTCACTGGTCTTGGGGCGTGGTGACGTTTACCGTATTGATAAGGTGCGGGGTTGTATACCGTGTTGCAGCAGGCTGGGGTGCATCCAACAGGTGCACAAGTGTTCGGGCAGGAGTTAGGGCAGGTTCCTGCGACTGGGACTGGAACTGGAACTGGAGGTGGAGGAGGCATGTAATAAGGCTGTTGATAGCCCATTGGATAACCCTGCTGGCAACACGTGTCATAGCAAGAAGGTGCACAGGCTGATGGGCAGGGTATCGGGCACACAGGTGGAGCAGGCTCCTTGTAACAAGCTGCAAAAACGGAATGCAGTTAACACTCCTCAGCATAATCCTATTACATAGATATAAAAGGAGTTCGCAATTTCTAGTAGAATCTAAAACTAAAGAAGTGTTTGTAATGGTTCTTTTTAGCACATCAGCAGTAACAGTTTTAAATAAGTTGCCCTTCCTCCTCATTTTTGATTCGAAAGTAATAGTAACTGGCGCAACATTTTTATTTTCCACCTTTAAATAACACAGTGTCAAGAAATGTTATAGCTTAAGAGATTTCAAACCTGCTTGTTCAAGTTTTGGAGCGACTGACACAGGGGTTAGCTTGCCAAGTTTACCCAACGTTATGGCCTTTGTCAAGTTTGGAAGATGAGTTCCATTGGTCGTGAACTCCACACAGAAGTGCACGATGGACTTGCCGTCTGGTGCTTTGCTATTTCCGAAAAGAAAAGGTTTAAATAAATACTTGCAAGACTCAAGGTTGAAAAAGTAAGTACGGTAAATAGGAGACGTGTTCTCTTACGAAAAAACTTGATCGATCCTCGGTTTTCCCGAATGTATTATGTGTATTAAAGGATATTCTCGATCGCAAACGAATCGTTTTCTATTCTTTACTCTATTAATTAATTAATTTATATATTTAAAAAGACTTTAAAATAAGGTCTCCGAGAAGTCTCAATAGGCTGATTTAGCAACAGCACGGGAACGTCAGTTGGCGACGGCGCGCGCAAATCAAATAACTGGCTCGACCAAAGGCACAGCAGCAAATTGGGCACCGGAAGTCGAGTTTAGTCCTTACCGCGCGCTTTCCTGTCGTCAAATGACGTTCCCGTTCTGTTGCTAAACCAGCCTATCATAAAAAAGGACAATGTTATCATAGCTTGAGAAAACAGCCGACAGTTTCGCGATGCCATCAGTGGTTTCCCTGCGAAATGACGTCTGATGAATGAGTTCAGAATTGCATATTGATGGTAGTGCTCCTGATTGATCGTGCCGCAGGGGAAATTTAATTCAATCAGAAGCACTACCCAGATCTGGGTAGTGGCACGCTTTCAGTATGAAATTTTCTGCGCCCAGGTACTTCGGATGTCATTTCGAAGGGAAACCAGTGATGACGTCGAGAAACACCTGCTGTTTTCTCAGGCTAATGTTATCAAATTTAGTGAACCAACATAGCTACCTGAATCTTAGGGTAGTAACACCTACGAATGGCTTGTATCCATCATACACTTGCATAATCTAATTACAATGGATAAAAATCAGTGAGATTGTACTTTAAGGAGCCACACAGTTGACTTTTAAAAAACGTAAACTTTAAAACATACATAACGCAATGGCATGTATTTCTACCTGGGACAACAAAATGATTTTTCTAGCTGTTCTCTTGAATTTTTCAGGTATTTTTGTATTTTTTTCCCTAAAGCTCATTAGTACAGATCTGTCAATAACTTTAGAGTATACTTACTCCAACTTCAAAATCCGTTCTAAGCTTGATGAACTTAGCTGAGTGTGGATTTGCTAAATCGTCAGTGTAGGTAGCATTCGTAAGCTTCAATGTCAAGTTGTAGACAGAGCCTAAAACATTGAAATAATAAAGAATTGACTCCTTTTATCTCAGCAGAGGCTATGACCTGGCTTCTAAAAATCCTACCAAGAATTCAGCCTTAATTGGTTCAAAAAAAGGCCATTGGACAGAAATCAACAATGGATATTTTTAAGTTTCTTCTTGCAATTTTTGTTCCCATCTCTTGAATATACCTAATGCAACCCGTTCGTCGTTTAGTTAAGTTGTTAGTGATTACTGTATGTATTATTAGTAGTATTGTAATCAGAAAATTACCTGTAATTAATAGATCGAAAGGAACAACGTGACCTGACAAACTGGCATCGCAGAATTGTTATTAAGACCTCTTTAGATGTATGTTTTGTTTTTCCAATGCAGGTCAGGTGATAATACTATAGAGAAATGTTTCTTTTAAATTTCGCCTTGAAGAATTTATGAAAAGTCAAAGAGACAAATTCCCCAGGGTCCTTCATTGGGAAAACAAAGCTTAAAAGCTAAAGAGTTCTATTTATTATATAAACACCAATGAAATACCAAGTGAGCTTTCGCGCGAAAACTTGATATCTTCACATGTTAAAAGAAACCTGTTATCTTCACATGTGAAAATATCACCGTTGTTATGACTTCATAATAAACCGCACCTTTCAGACCAAAAAACTATTTAAGTAAAGTGGTTTGATATTTTATGTGTGTTTATATAATAAATAGAACATTACATGGTCGCTTGGAGATACGAAATTTCTCTTCTCGTGTTGAAAAAATATTTCACTCGTTCGCAATATTTTTCAACACCTTCAATACAACATCTCCGCGCCGCCATGTAATATCCTCTAATTCTTTCAGTGAATTAGCATTGCAGCCCCACCACTTGTTAATTTCAGTATACCTTCTGCAAGAAAGAGGAACAAACGATATTTATTTATCTATTGCAGGCGACAAGAGGAGCACGCAATCTTAATTTCCAGGTTGTTATTACGCATGCGTCGCAAGTATTTAGCCAGCCTTCGTTTGGACTTCCTCTAAGAATGAATGGAATGTACAGGACGCAATTTGATTACTCGCGTTTGGACCTTCTATCTTTCGCTATCTGATCACTCGTGTTTTGACCGTCTATCACGGGGAAACTTACGCAAAGCACAGAGTTTGAGCATGGTTAGCAGTCCCCTCTACTAACTATGGTTTGAGCAAAAGCGTTTCGACCTTCGATCTTTGTCGCCCACACTCCGTAACCTTTGGTTATTACTAGTTTACTTATTTACCTATTTATTTTTTAGTTATCTATTCGTTATTAAATAGCAGTAATTAAATAGTTTTCGTAAACCTACATTGTAAAGTATCCGGGTTGGTAACATTGGTCACATTTGCAGGGTTGGCGGTGGTAGCTGGCTGCGTTGGTGTTGGAGCAGGTGTCGTAGCCGTAGCTGATTCGGTGTTGGAGATAAAAATTCAGATAAAAAAATTGCTCATTTTAATTAATTCATATAACGTAATCGTCTAATAATTTTCTTTTTTCTGGTAGGGGCGTGGGGTTGCATTTCCTTATTTACTAAAGGCAAGGATACATTGTAAATACCTTTTATGATGGCTTCTGCATGCGGACACAATTATAAAAATGACAAACATGGCAATGGGACACCGACTTAATAGACACGTTGCGACTTGTCTGTTATCGAATCAATAAATTATTATGGGAAAATACTGAGAAAGATATAAACAATCCCATACTGCAATACAAACTAAAAATAAAGTGCAAGACTTGTTGCAATATTTAATTACTGTTTGTCGGTAAGATAACTTTTGGTATTCAGTGTGTTTGTCGTCCGTTGTGTACTGGGTGCACAAGAATTTTTATTTCCGCCAATCCTAGATACCTATAAGGAACTAACTTCACGGCTTAGACTTTTCATCTAAAAGCAGGTCTTCTAGTTCGTGTATACAATGCTAAATGTTATCGGAAAAATATTTCAATGAACCGGAGCTTTGGCCAGGAACTCTGAGCTGGTGAACGGACTGGATTTTCAAAGCAATTCATGCAAATCCTTAAAGGGGAGATATTTTGCTTTATGATCGTTTCCACATTTAACTTATTATTACTTTTTCCCGAAATTTGCATGTCATTGAATATTTGTGTAAGTCAGTTATGGGACCCACTTAAAATTGCTCATATCCGTATAACGAGGCAACAACACGAAAAGAAAAAAGCCAACACTGTTAGGTCAAACCGCTGGATAAAAAATCTACAGGTCATCCTTTGTAGCTGGCTTTGTACGACTGATCAAATCATACCTTGCTCTCCTTATTTGCATATATATTGATTTTCATCTGCATTTTCTGATAATAAGTAACTTTCAATCTAAGGTAACACTATCACACAGACTAGTTAAACTGATGAATACGACACCAAATCAAAACTTTTATTCCTTTACTTACTTTGACCGCTTGAAAATGCGAAGCACGCGGACAGGAACAGCGCGCAACAGAAAACTTTCTCGCCCTTCATCGCTTGAAAACTACAGCAGAAAACAAAAACACAATTCAAGATTATGTTGGCTTGAAATCATCTTTAGATATCAATAGAAAGGTCAGAAACGTCGACAATGGGTTGATCAGGTCTTGAGTGAGGTCATACCCCTTATCGACACTTTTCGTGGCGTAAAATGGCGAACAATCGATCCACAAGCACGAGGCGTCTTAGTGCATGGTAGCACTGAGCAAAGAAAGGAGAGAATCGGTGGAGAATTCAACTGGTACCAGACTCTAACTTTCTGTCTTTGTGTTTTATTTGTTAAGGGGTAACCATGCGTTAAATCTCCAAAGGGCGGCCGACCAGTTTACAATTAGAGAAAACTGGTATGTTTTAGAGTTTTAGTAAAACACCTAAATTGCAAAAGAAAACTTAGCATTTAAACTTTTACAATCGTTTTAGAAGCGATTGTTGCAAGAAAATTTGTTAACTGTACGGTTATTCGTCTTTAACCACAATTTGGGATCCTAATATGGAGCCTCTCTATAGGTACCTGCGGACGTCGTTTTTTGACGCGCCTTTTTCATCAAATCGTCGGTTTTTTGACGAAATCTTCGAATAACAAGGATTGTTTCGCATGATTACGCTACTAAAGAGCTTGAACAACCACGACGACGACGGAAACGAGAATATCAAGAAATTATAACCAGCAATCTCATCGTGCAGCAAACTTTTTGGCAGATCTCTGCGTCGTAATCCCAGGACAAACATTGTGAAACTTGATCGCAATGGCAATGCCATCGTCGCTCTAAGCTTTAAGATGCATGGTCGTTTCATCAAGAACGACCGTCGAGGACCGTAGCAAATGCCCATAGAGAGACTTAACAGGTGTATATGTACTTCACTAAAAGATCAATCTGATTAAAGATCTGTGACAGAAGATGATCTTTAATTGTATCATCATCAAACGGTAAGTTTCGTTTTCTTGGAAACTATTCGGAGAGCATTCAAAATCGTTGCTTAGCCACCCCGGAATGATAAAAAAAAAAAATCAAATAAAACAATCCACCTTAGAAATTGAAATAGTAATGATAAATTGGCGTGTGAACATTCATTAATGGTTAGTTATACTGACTTGTTCCGACTTAAGGCAAAATAAACCGCCACAGTAGGGTTGTTTGAGTGTAAAGTGAAGTTAAATTTTGATTAGCACGGTTTGGAATGTGTTGGTTATCACGGCTGTTGAGTCTAAATCGTGTTAAGACAAAATATTTTTGGTTTTCAAATTGTTTATGTTAATTGTTATTGATTTGAACATCGCAATTTCAGTTTCATGCTTTAAAACCTAACAAGAAGACAATGTAGGTTCACTGAGCGTTAAAATCAAAACTGGAAATGAAAAATAGCGCTTCGTTATGCAACAAGCACCCTCGTCAACAACCGTGAACAACAACAAAAAGGAGATCTCTTTCCCGTGCGCAAAAAAATTTAGAATAAATGAAGGGAAAAATATCTTACTTACGGCCTTGCGAAGATCCCAATTCCTTCGGATTTCAGTGATAAATTAGGCTGTAATGACTTATTTCAAAAACACGGATGATGATAGAATGAGAGAGGACTATCTAATCATTAACATTCCTGGCGTATTCCGTTATTTACCCCTAAACTACTGACGCATGCGCATGAGGTGTTTGGTAGTTTGGCCTCAATGACCTTATGGCTCTTTGTTGAAGTCACTTGGTAGAAGAACGATTTCTCAACAGATATTCTCATAGAAACTAACTGTAAATGCTGTCGTTATGCTTTGATAACCACATCAAACCGACTTCGTCTGGAGTGTCTCGTTTACTGCTACCGCTACAACTATATTTCTCCGGCGTTAATTCAAGTTTATGCCAAAATCAAATTTCAATATTTTTGTAATTTATCATTTTCTGTTTTGGACAAAAATTATTTCCTTTTAGCCACCGAATAGTAGTTTTTACAAGAGGCAAGCCGAGTAAATAATGACTTAAATGCATGACAGCAGGTCTTTGTGTGCTTTTCGGGGTGGCTTCATTCAACGCTGACAAGTTACAACGGGTGACAGCTTCCACTTGTATGTACTCGAAGAGAATAAATGAGCGTTAAGTCATGTTCAAAAGACTTACGGATAAGGTCCTTGAATAAAAAGAGTCAGTGTCCGCTGAAGACAGAAAATCATGCTTTCATGTCAATATTAAGATACAACTGGAAACATTATACACAGCGAATAGGTTGGAACAATTTAGGACGCACCATAGTTACATAAAAAGTGGTACAAAGCTAAAAAATTCATTTTTAAATATATCGTATAAACTTCAAAACGTTTTAATGATTTTTCTCACTAGATGTTCTTATTTTGCTTGCTTTCTTATTTCAGAATTCGTGTAGGCTGTGCAGGATTGGCAAAAAAGAGCAATAATTATACTCCTCCACCATTAAAACTTTTATTTCGAAAGATATATCAATTCTATCCCGACATTTTGAACCCTCTAAAGAGCATAATCCATGTTGATCACATGTCAATTTGTAGGGAGTTAGACCGTATCATTTGAATCCCCTGAGCTTCGTCCTTCTCGGATTCATGAGGTCATGTTTCTATATGGAAATCTTCTAGTGTGACCAGATACTTTAAAACAACGCTCGGAAAATATTCGTAACACCTTCGGAAATCTTCGGAAAATCAGCATTGTTTAAAACCAAACCAAGATTTCATGGTTCACTTTTGAACGACTCCGTGTCATTGCCTTATTCTCCTAAACCAGGTACCCTTTCTTGTTGAATTACTAATTAATCGTCAACAATTTGGTTTATTTTATTACCTTTGTATTCACATGAACAGTCGTAAACGATTTGTGAACGAGAACGGGGCAATTGTGGACGAAAATATCTCCCCAATAACCAAGGGTAAAAACGTTAACGTTCTCATGAAAACGAGCTCCGAGGCATATTGTAAACTTAACGCTAGAAAAACGAAGGGAAAATATCTAAATACTCATTTTAAAAAATGGGCCCGTTCTAAAGCTTTCGCACTTTAGAAATATTATATCCCGGTTTAGGAAACGAGCTGAAGCGGTCTGAATCGTAGTTACTAACCTTTGGGAGGAACATACCCGTAGAGGTATTTTGGGGGAGTTACTTCCCCACCAGGGTTTATTGATAACCAGTATTCGTCATCGACAACTAAAGCTACAGGTGTACGGTGAAACGGGCAATAAAAACGTGCAAATGACTTGTCTTGCAACATCGCTGCAAAACGAGTTGTAAGCGATGTTGCGCGTTTTACCACCCGCGTTCAAACCTGTCTTGCAACAAAAGGTTTCAACAACCTGATTTGTTGCAAGACAGGTTCGATTCCAGGATAAAAAAAAACGTGCAGCATCGCTTTCCAACTCGTTTTGCAGCAATGTTGCAAAACAAGTTAATACGTTAATCGTTTTTGTTGCTCGCTTTAACGTACCTTAAATCTCTAGCTCTACAGGCCATAAGCAAAGACAGTCTCAGCAAGTACTGAGCGTTAATTAAGTTTTAACGTGCTTTAACCCCCTTCAAAAGACTGAATCGAATTCAAGTGTACAGTTATGATAGTGAAGATTCTGATTTTTTTAATAACAATCGAAAAAATTTAGGTATCTTCTTCAATTTTTTTACAGTGTTTTTTTGTTTTTTTACAATAAAGAACCAATCAAAATCAAGATATTTGGAGACAGTCTTTCAAATGAAAAGGATAGTTTCAAAACATCGATTATTCAGTTTTATTTGACTGGTTTTCATGGAAACTATCTTTCTTTGTTATTATTTGATTTTAACTTCTGATCCATAACTACAGCAAAGGTACAATGCCACTTACGTTAATACTAGCGACATCAACCATTTTGACAAGAAAGAGACAAACCGACAAATAACTTTGCTTTATTTTACTTTATTTTTTAACTTTTAAATTCCCTTTAACTGTGTTTGTCTGATTCACGATCTAACGACAAGATCGTCAAGAAGACTGCATGAGACGAACAGCCTTTCCATTTTCAGTCAAAATCTCGACGTTGCTGTAATTTCTGGAAAGAAAAAAGGAACACTGTTGTGAGAATGCTGGGCCGGGTCCCGGAAAGGCCGGTCAGCGCAAATCCAGGATTAAAATTTTGTTCCGTTTTTTGATTTTTTCCTTCCTTTGTATTGCTTAGATTAACATTTTGTGTCATCTTTGCCGTATCTGGTATGGAAGGCAGTATTTTGTAAGCTCGAGTTGCATGTTCTTAGACAAGAAAACCTTGGTTAAAAGTTGGCTTAATCCTGGGTTAAACTTAACATCTATCGAGGAACAGTGCCCTGGGCACTGGATGACTATCATCTGTCTCGCGCTTGTCTTCTCGACAGGAGCCCATAACTCGGAGAGTACTACTCCCATACTTAGGCTATGCAACGGCGTTTTCACTGATCAATTTATTTTAGCATCATTTTGCAAGGCTAGGACGTCAACCCGAGACTACCGTATTTATTCGAATAAGCGCCCAACCTCGAATTAGCGCCCACCTCGAATAAGCGTCTATCCTAAAGGCAGAAAAAGTTAGTAAGCGCCCAGCCTCGAATAAGCGCCCACCCCAGCCCACTCCCTCCCACAAAAACTCCAGTGAGAGATAATAAGAGACCCTCCCGAAGACGGAGTTTTCAACAGGGTATAGTACAAAAACCTTGCTTTGTTACACCTTCGCTTTTTGTTATTAGCATTTACTGTTTTGTTGCAAAATATACTACTACGGTTGGTGAGAATGGTGAAAATTTAATAAGCGTCCACCCTCGAATAAGCACCCACTCTCAAGGTCCAAAAATTTTATAAGCGCCCAGGGCGGTTAATCGAATAATACGGTAATCCCACAACCCGTTGACATAAACATCATTTACAGCTTCCTTTTTTTACACAGCAATGAAATATGATAACTGTTTATTGCAACATACGGTTTCAGTATGTTGAGCACTTTCTTCATGTATAGCTACTCTCCCGCCCATATTTAACTTGAAGGAACCTTACCAGTCGGCAGTCTTCTCCCAGCTAAGTGGCGCGCAGGGCATTGTGGGATGGAGGAAAGCGACCTGCTACCGAGCTACCGCCGTGGGTGTTACGAAGAAGCTGTGTCACGAACTTAAGCAAAATTGAAACATTTGGAACTACGGTACTAATAGAAAACTACCCAATGTGAGGAAATGCACCCGGGGAATTAAATATATTGTATGATTCATTCTTATTTAGAAAAGTCTGAGTGCAGAGCGAACATGGTCTGTTGATTAGAGGCTACATATTACTTTTAATTATTCAATCAATTGATTAATTAATTGTTTAATTAATTTTGTTCGTTTTTGTATCTTTCTTGCGAATTAAATCACCTGGTAAACTCTTGCTCGACTCCTGGATGGATCTGAATTAAACAATTTTCCACCCTGTATTTGACTTCGTCCACTGTATCTTCTGATCGCCCTTCTGTGAGCTGAGTTAAAAATGCCTTTAACATCAGAGACAGTGGTCACTAACAGACTGGTAGCAATAATTAACAACAGACTCAGCCCAAATGCTCTCATCATGCCTGGAATGGAAAAAAAAATTGAATTGAATAAACAACGATTTAGAGAGGTAGCACTGATGCAAATTAAGTGTTCTTCGTCTACCTTTCCTGGTCGACTTGGAATTTGGATATTTTTTATTTTTTAGGAGAGGGGAAAAACGGAGTACCAGGACCTTTTGGGGAAAATGAGAGAACCAACAACAAACTAATTTAAAAGCTAAAACACTCTCTTGATCATCAAATATTAACGCCGTGATGTGAGACGATCCGCAACGTGGGCAACAGCAGAGGCCTTTGATATTCTATCACGTGAAGATCATATCCACAACTGTACACGAGGCCGTTTACAGGTTTCGTGCAAAACGACTGTAAACGGATATATCTGTTTTCAGTAAATAAGATTACATAAAAGGATAAATATTACTCTCGTGTGCGCAAACGTACGACGCAACATTGAGTTTTAAATCGTCTGCAAACTTACAAGAAAACTTGTTGACGATAACAGTCTTTAATTTACTTTAAAGACTACGTAGACTTTATACATGGCCACCCTTTTCTCAGTCTTTTGTACTAAATAAAAACTAAGAGTGTGCTATGAACAAATGAGAAAGAAGTGTTCGGACGAAGGATAAGAACGTCACTAAAATTCATATTTATGATATTAGGGAGTAGCGTGTATGTAAACTTGCCTCGCCTTAAGAAGCTCTGCCTCCACTGCAACCCCAAATAAAAGCTTAATTCTTGGAAAAGAAAAAAGTCATAACAAGCAGTCTTAACTGGGAAACCTCAAATTGGATCTTTAGTTCGGGTTTTGAATATTCAATCCACGAAGGCGAGCGACCTCCAAGAAAGAATTTCACTTTTAAGTGGACCCAAATGTCATATCTGTGTTTAATAGCAAGTTTTGAGGGAAATCTAGAAACCGCACTTAAAAAACTAAAATCTGATTTTACGAATGCAAAAAAAAAAAAAATTACAAGGCCAACTCTATTCTCTTTTGAGGGGATTATTTCAGTTAATAAAAAACTTGATATTCTCTGTTTACAATT